TTTTTTTTTTTCACAGCTGCCTGTCTTAAGAACAATGGAAAACCCTGATGATTATGATATCGACACAGATCTTGGAACTTCCATTGATGAAGGGGACAAAACTGGTATGTAGCAACTTGCCTGTCACTTTCCATTAACGGTTGGTAATAAAATAGTGTCTGTGTCAAGTGCTAAGAGTATGTGGAATCTAATGATTGTGAGCACTAAATTATTAATGAAGAAACTGAAGATGAGATGATTGACAAAGCGAGCAGTTAGGGATATATTAAACACCACTCCCACATTTTAGTACTGAGCCTGATGTAAACTATGAAGAATCTCCTTCAAGATAACTAGTATTCTACACATATTCGAATCCTTAATCGTAACTATGAAGCAGGAGTATAATGCACTGTTCAGCAATATTCCTTTGGAAGAGTTAAAAGAGAAAATGAAAACTGAGTAAAAAGTGTGATATCTGCAGAAATTCAGTTTGTAATGCTATACAAATTTCTAATTCTAAGGGGAAAACATGGATTGAGGGTTAACATTGTCACATGTATTAGTGACTTTTAGATGAGGTTTGGATTGGTGAATCAATTTATAAATTCATTACTCACAAATCATATGTCAAGTAATTATAACACTCTGAGGATTACTGCAACTGTAACCAGTGCTTGAGGTGGAACGAAAATAGAACCGGGATGGTTTTCCCCTTTTAATTCATAGACATAAATTATGAAAATATACCGAGTGATGTATATAGTCTGTGTTCCATATAAGACCTACGAACATATTACAGTAGTTTAAATAGCATGTGTTAAAATAAAGTCACACATGCATTATGAGTACTTATCTTTAGAATATTTTCCAGATGTTTTCATTGCTTTCTGAAGTCACTTATCTTCTATCTGCGGGGGCTGCACAAGACTGGTAATCTGCATGTCGACGTCCTTTCTTTAACCATTGTTTTACATAATATTCTGCATCGATAGCACTAACAGGGGGTCCCACTGATGAAATAAACATTAGACTAGATGTTGCTTTTAAAAGCATCGAGCTTCGGATGGTTGAAATAATGTTGTTCATGTTGCTGAATGCACACTCACACTCTGCAGTTGAAATAATAATAGTATTTGCAGCTGCAATCAACGGCTTTAGTTCATCAGGATACATGTCGTCACCATTCATTATATTCATGGAATCCATGAACTGAAGTTTTCTTACACACCATAAATGACTCAGTTCCCTAATCTCTTTATCAGCAAAACATGGATCTTGACATTTTACCCACTTAGCCTTATCCATTATTTTCAAGTTGTCCAGTAACTGACTGTATTTGTCCCTGTTTGACCATGTTGTGTTACTACTTCCAGTCGATTCGTGTGAAGCTCTAGTGGTGAACATTCAGGTGTTTATATTGTCACTTAATTTTTGAAAGAATTGTTGTTCACTAATCTTCTGCACTTTTCCATGTTCTAAGCTAACTCCTTTAAATTCTAATTTATCAGCAGCCGTTAGAACTTCAGAATAATATTCACCTGGATTATTTGCCATGGACTGAAAGACGTGATACTTAACAAGAACTAAATGATGTGCTTCAGGCAATGTGATTTTCTTTTCTTGTAATTTTAAAGACAGGTGTTCAAGTTCTGTCAAAGCATCGAACAGAAGTCCCATATTTAGAACAAAGTTTACGTCGCTTAGTTTTCTTTTCGATCCAGAATATTGAGCTCTCTCCCTTCCCGTGCGTTTCGGGTCTACAGACACATTGTGAAAATGCTTATAAAGAGCAGGGTAATTATTCCGTATGGCTCTCACAGACCGCGCACTAGACGATACCCAACGTGTCGTTCCTAACACTCGTCCTATGGTATTTAATCTCATACTCAGTTGTGCAGCAACAGTTTCTAATTCAGATTTGTTCTTTCGAGACACGCTGTAAACGGAATAGAGTTTATCAAAAAATGATTGCATGTGGCACACTGTTGACATTTCCCGTACTGTATCATTCACCGCTATTTCTAATCGATGATTACTACAATGCCAAACAATCAATTGAGGATACATTTGGAGCAAAATTTGTGCAACATCTGCATGCCTTCCAAGTAAATTAGAGATCCCATCACAAGCAAATGAAATCCAATTTCGTGATAAAAAAATCACTGTGAAATCTGTTACTCTTGATATTGTTGAGAAAGGCGTCCCTGGTCGTTGCAGCTGTAGTATTTTCTAATTCCACTATATCAAAAAAGTAACTACTCGCATCCATGGAATCACGCAGTTTGAAATGTAAACAGATTACAAGAGCTTTTATTTTACTTCGAGTAGAAGTCTCATTGATCATGAAACCTATCTTAAGATCATTATCAATAATATATTTAACAAGCTTCTTTCTCATTTCATCTGCTATATGATCACAAGTATCAGTGCACGCATGATTAGACTGCAAGATACGCCCCATAGCTAAACCATTTAGTTCTTGTAAATCAATCAAAGCTGCTAAATCTGTCATGGGACGGTTCACTTTCGCTATTTGATAAGCTGTCCTAAATATGCGACAAGTTGTAATGTATTGTTTTCCTTGTGTTTTAACATTCAGACATTCAATTGTTTCTTTTTTAGCAAGGCATAAAATGTCATTAGTTTTAACATGAGCTGCCGATAGTTTATGACAAGACAGTTTCTTCCTAATCAACTGTTGTTTCTTCTCTTTTGTTTCACCATATTCCTTGACCCTACCTTCACACCACTCACTAGATAATTTCAAACCTTGTGTTTTTGCAGGCCCTAGAGTTCCCACTGATTTACATGTTGTACAGCCTAGCCCTTGTTTACTAATTGTCAACCACTCTTATATTTTCAAATTTTCTAGCCATTGATCTTGTGTCCAGTAATTAGGGAAATAATTAACTTCATTTTCATGCACCTGATTTTGAGTCACGCTGTTATCTGTTGCAGCTGTATTCACACATATGGTGGTTTTGTCTTCATTGCAGTGGATGGAACTTACAATTGTTTCACTTTTACTTACAGTTGCACATGGTTCATTATTGCCACTTTCACTTAACTTGGATTTCTTACTGCGAATTATCCATTTCTCCATTTTCACCGATAAATGAAAACTGATGCTGAACTAAAATAAC